CTAAAGACTCAGGGATGCAAATCTCCAAGCGGATTGTCAAAATGCCTTCCCCACTCTCTGACAAAAGTAGCTGGGAGAGAAATGCACATTTGGGAAAATTCTTTGGTGCATGGCAGGTCAGAACAGAAGACAATGGCAAGGCTGCAAGGAGACCAATGTCCTGGTACTACTTATGCCACAGAATTGCTTCACCATCGCAACACACAAACTGGGCCTTTGTATCAGTTTTTTCTGTTCTCCCTCTCTTTATTTTTGTGTGTATGCATTTTGATTGGACATACTTAAAGTTTGTTCACACAGTGCCCGGGGCCTTCAGCCATAGTACAATGCAAACAATAAAAAACGACAGTGAGAGCTTTTTTTAAAAAAAAAAAAAAGCTTACAAACATGGGCAAAAATAAAACCCACGGCAAAATCCTGACCTCACTGAAAGTGGTATAAGCACAGTGATAAAAAGTTGACAACCTTCTATTGCATGACTGTCTGTCCCAGGCAAGACCCAGCGTTCAAGAGACTGCTACGCTGCTGAGGCTAGCCAGGGTTCAAACTGGAACAAGACCCAGTGACAACAGGACAATGAAGGATGAAGATGGAGACAAAAAGCCTACCTTCAGAGAGCAGGCAGGAAGAGCTGGGCTTGTTTGACATGAGGACACAGTGGGAAGGGCAATGGGCATGTACCAGCAAGGAAGAAGAGCTGAGCCCAGTGGTAGCACAAGGACAGAAGGGTATGAGAGTGGACCTGAATGAGATTAGACTCATCACTGGAGAAGGATTCCCAAATACCACAAAAGATGACTACAGCTGGAGATAATGGGGACAAAAGACGATGCTTGTTAAGCTTCTGAAGAGAATCCCATGATGTGGCCATGATAACTGGGTCATAGACTTGCTTCTCAAATAAGGATCTGGTCAAAAATTAAAACACACTGCAAAATGAGCTCTGCCTACACAGTGGATTGTTGTATGGTCAGGATGTTCAAAAGAAACAAATTCAAAAAACGATAGGGGGTTATTTTATTTGTTTATTTTTGATGAAGATTTAAGTACCTCCAGCTAATAAAAAATTGAGGAGGGTGAACAAAATCTGCAAAAAATGTAAACGCAACCCCGCCACACTCATGATGGGAAATATGTTTTCTCAAACACCATTTAGAGAAACAGAGTAAGTACTTGCACATTGGAGAGTGACCAGGCTGGAAGGAAGGGCAGTGGAGGAGGAGAAGCCTGGGTATGCAGTCGTGTGAAAGCCTGAAGCCTCCACTGACTTCAGCTGGGATGAGATCTTATCCACTGAGCTCTAGACTTCAGAGACACAGCAGCCTTCGGCAACAGGCAGCTGCAGCTCAGCAGTTATTTTTGGGGTGGCAGTTTCCCCAAAGAAGTGTGTTCATTACCAATGACCATTCATTATTTCACACTGAATCTCTCTACCCCAAGAAACAAGGCTGCCTATTGGACTTACACACCCCTTCCTATGTTTGGGGCTATAAAAACATGCTCCAGAACCCAAAGTTGCTCTCATAAACCCATGGAGTTCAGGGGGTTGGGTGAGGGCTCAGCTCAAGGTCTGAGTGCCTCTTTATTTCCATGTAGACATCCACTCACAGGGCAACAGGAGTGGGGGAAGAGTGTTAATTTTTAAGTTCCTGGCTACACTCCAACTTCAGTAATTACATTCAGCACAAGTGAATTTCCCCCGAAATTTCAATTACAGAAGGTATTTTCCACTGCCACCACTTAACTGCTGTGCAGTGTTTGTCTGGCGTAATTCTGCTAAATTATTTCCTGATTTCCTCTCACAGCAGTTGTTTTTTCATAGTGGGTCCACTGTTTGCCCATCAGTCAGCTAACCCTGTCTCAATTTACATTAAGAGCATATTATAGAGGGGTAATGAAAGATCAAGAGATGTTAGAAGCATGTTCATGCACACCAAGTGAATGGGGTGATGCTACAAGTGGAGAAAAGAGTTGTAAATGGTTAAAACAACCTGAAGACATTACCTTAATAGTCTAAACCATTTATGAAAATCACTATTAGTCACCCATTAACCTTTTATAAACTATTCATAAGCACACTCTAACTAATGAACTGTAATTACTAAGCTTAGGGAATATTCAGGGTTGGGAAGTATTATATGGTCCAAAAGTGGATGGAGGGGTGAGGCCGGAGCTTCAACGTTTGGGCAGAGCCAACACAGCAACCCCAAGCCTTGTACCAGGGTCCTGCGGGGCTGTTGCCGGGAGGACAGCCATGAAGGGCATGTCTGCAAGCAAGCGTGGGCATCCCCAGGCACGCCAGCCCCATCTCCCAGCTGTGCTGGCTACTCAGGGCAAGGGCTGTCCCACGGCTGAGCTCAGGCACTCCAGCTGATACGGCGGGCATGAGAAAACATGCGTCAAACCACATATCAGAGCACGGTCTGCCCAGAGGGTGTTCCCATGTATGGGAAACCAGGAGAGAAGTTTCTGGGCTGAAACAAAGGATAAACATCTTAAATCTATTCATCACCCTGCGTGTGCGCCTGAGCACGTGTGCGCGTACGGGCTCATGTCAGAGACAAAAAGAAAGGCTGTGTGCGTATATGCACACCCCTCACCTTTGCCTAAGACATCCCCCCATATTATTTTTTCTAGACAAGTATTCCATGAATTGCAATAAACACCCTAAAAATTCTAAGCAGCTCATTATACACCACTGTCTCCTTTTATGGCTCCAAGCCAGAATATAATGATGAGTCTTAACTTGTTAAGGACAACTAATTTTTTGTTCCTGGCTGTCTCAGGGGCTTCTCTCTTACTCACTCTCACTTTACTTCACTGTTGACATGTTTCTGTTAACTGGATGTCATCTGCCTGCCTTGATTTTATGCACAAGCAGTGGGATGCATTTTTCTGTGCAACAATTCTGCTTTGAGTTGCATTAGAGTTGTCATTATTCTCTCATTTTCCCCTTGCACTTGTAACATTTCATCTATTCCTGCCTTATTTTTTGAGCCACGGTGCACCCACATTATGGTTTATACATGATCTTGCTCCCTTTGAAGCCGGCAGATTTCAGAGCCAGCCCTCGTCAGGAGAAGTGCCTGCTACCAATTTAGCAGGCTGAGGGCCCCGAGCTCCAACAACTCAATCTAAAGGGGGTCACAGGGTGGCACAAGCGAGTGTCAGCAAGTGCTGTTTAATTGCCAATCTAGGCTTCTCCATGGTGTTTAAAGTATAATGACCCATCACTTAATTCTGAGAAGTCCTGGCCCTGCTGCTGAATGGAATGAATATCAAAGGATGTGCTAGAACAGGGCAAGGAGCCTACATTTCCTATAACTGCCATAAGTATAATAGACCTCTACTTCTGTCGTCCCATTACCACAATAATGTATTTAATTTGCTGTGTACTCTTTTTAACTAGATACCTTTTATAAAGCCTATCTTGGGAATATAGCCTCCCCCCTCCCACGTCTCCCCCCTCCCTCAAATGACTAGCCTCTCTAATAATAATTAAACTAAATCAAGCTCTACTTTGCCTCACACCATGCCTGCAAGTCTTTTATAGATATTAAAACATTAAATGGAAGGAGGGAATCATTGTTTAAATTTGCAGCTCTCTCCCCAAGCCAGGATTTTTTCTCCCCTTTGCTGGGTCTATTTTTTTTTTTTTAAGTTCATTTTCCAGTTGTCTCTCTACTTGCTGGAGCAACACAGGCAAATTTTAATTTTTTTCACTTTTACTCTCACTTTTACACAACACACTATTTCCCTACCGAATCACTCATGAGTTTTAGCTACAGGTTTCCATTTCTCAATGAAGTGTGTTTCCCAACACTGCCCCCAATCTTTTCCTCCTTAAATACCCTATACACCAACCTTCACATATTAAACTGCAGAGATGGAGAGGAAGGGACAGAGCAGGGAAGAGATGTGGAACCTTGCTATGTAATGCATGCTAATTTAATTATGTGCCATCATCAAAATGGATTAGCTGTTTCAGCCCATCAGGAAAGTCTAAACCTCCACCGATTTAATTAACCAGACTGAAAATCAGATGAACAGAAAATAAAACTATCATTAGGAGCAATTAGTGATTACTTAAACATAGTGCTGCCAACCAGTTTGTAAATAAAACTAGCAGCCCCTGGAAAATTAGATGGAATTAATTGGAGATAGGGAGGGGGAGAAATATATACTTCTAAAGCTTTAGAGGGTCAGGCAGGCCCTTTTATGTTGACTGACAGTGTTTGGAGCTTTAGTAAGGGAAAACAGCGCTATAACCTTCCTCCCAACTCTGCTTGAAGAGCAGCCCTCCTCCCTCCTGAGACTCCCCTCTCACACACAGAGCGCTGCGCTGGGTGATGGCCACTGAGATAGCAAAAGGTATCACAACTTCTCCTCCTGCTTTTTCAACATCACATTCTCCCAGCTTTTTCATTTAGTTTGGCTTTTGAAGACGACTTCCCGCTCCTCTACCTCTCCCTCAAAACCAAATTCTTAAAGCCCAGTGACAGCACTAGGACACATTCTTCTCCTCAAATGGGAAGGTACCCCTTGTCCCCTACTCCTCCAACCCACCTAACAACTAAGGTTCACTGTTTAACTGAAGTGCTTTCAGAAATACGCTTCTTAGATGAAATGCTCTCCTCTAGAGAGGGTGGCAGTAAGAGTTACATTTGCTCTTGATTCAGGACCTCAACATTTGAACTCACCTTGACATGGAAGCATTGACGGTCAGAGCTGTTGGGTAAGGGTGGCGGAAACCCCCTGTCGTGATTGGGTACACTGGCTGACCTTGCCTGGCAAAATTAAAGAGAGAATGAGAGAAAGAAAAAAGGGTTTTAAAAAAAAAAAAACACAACAAAAAACTTCTCTCTGCACAGTAAGCTTTATTCTCATTTGATCAGAACAAAAATCTTGGGGATTGTACAGCAAGGATCAAAGGAAAGAAACACAGAACAATTTGAATGCCATAAATCTGATAGGAATGGCTAATTAAATTTTATAACCTCTGCTTATGTCAATAGAGACCCTCTCCCCAAGCTGAAACTAGGTGTTTTGTTGTAATAATTAAAGGCGAAGTCTCGCTTGCTTTAATGGAGCCATCACACTAATTGAGGGCTACACATCCAAAGGAAAACAATAATGAATGTAAATTTATACCAAAATAAAGTACAGTGAATCAAAGGACTTCAGTTGCGCTTTGGGCCTCTTTCGGTATTTAGATCTCGGTGAGAAAACATTAAATTAACAGAGCTTAATTTGTAGCCTTTTGTCAGATTAACAAGTGTTGACAAGAGTTACCGGGGGAGAGTCCCCAAGAAGTATTGTGGGTAACCAATAGACAATCACACCTCATTACAATAATTAAAAAATACAGCAACATGCAAAACAGCATCCTCATGAAAGACACACAACTTTTTCTGATTGAGGTTTGTCTGTGCTGGCTAGTTCTTTTCATCTGTCCTTCAATATATCATCTGACTGGGCAGGATGTTTTCTGCAGGGGGGTACTACGCTAAAGACATGCAGGCCAGTTGAGGACAGATGGGTTGGGAAGTTGATGGTGAAGCACAAGTGGCAACAAGAGGGGAAATAAAACCCATGGGTTACTTCTGCAAAGCTGACCACGCTACTCTCCTAGAGCAAAAGCAAATGTGATGGTATCACTCCTCAATAAAACACTCGGAGAAGCTGTAAGAGCTGTGGGTAGATGAGTATGCTATGGGTGTTGACTTGCTATAAACCAGTGGTGATGACAGAGTCTTCCTGTGACAGGGGTGGCCATTAGCACCTGCCTGGTGAAACTGGTCACAGATGGCCACATTCGCATGGTTTGGCAGCCACGACATGAGGTTCAAGCAGGACAAACCTGTGTCTGCACACATAAGGATGTAAGGCTCCGAGACACAGATGAGCAACGAGGCACAGGTCAACGACAGTGAAGAATTTCTTCCCTGTGCTCTCGTCTTTAACGTAACTGACTTTTGGCACTAGCTGAATGTACCTGTTTCAAATGCTAAGGCTGTTACTGTGCAAACTTGAGCTAAGCAGTTGCAACAGAGGAGCATGAGACCACTCTACTGCAGCTAGGCCCTGCAAGCACGAAAGAAGGAGAAAAGGAGCCGATGTGCCTTCTACCAGCGTTCAGGGTGTCCTATGTAAAACACAAATCACTCAGTTTAAGATTTCAGGGAGCAATGCTCTGTGTTGTTCTGCTCATGCTGTGCTCTTCTGGAGAAACAGCCTTCTGCAGAGCTGATGAAGACACTTCACCCTCTGGGTGGGAGAGCCTCTACCCAAACAAGTTGCATGATCACCCTGTGAGGAAGAGCAGCCTGCAAAGTGACCAGAAGTGGGCTGCTGTGGCTGAGGTCCGAGCTCCAGTTCTCCTGCATCAACACTGCTGTGCTTGAGAAAGGGCCCCAAAGCCTTTGACACCAATCCTTCCCGCTGCCCAAGACCTGGGGGTGTGTGTGTGGATCCCCTGCTTTGCCCTGCTCTCCTATGGGGTGTGAACTCCACTTCCTTATGCAAGGCAAACTTGTGAAGAGGTATTCTAGCACAGCTAGCCAAACAACCTCAAGCAGGAACAAACTATTTCTAGCTTTGGGCAATTCATGTCTGAAGAAATATGATCTCCCCAAAATTGATAAGGCCTGTTAAGTGAGAAAAATAGGGTAATAGTCTTGACTTATAATGCACAGAACCGTTGCATCCAGCAATACAAATGTCTTTTGTAAGTATTTAAATCCAATATACAGCACAAAAGGCCTAGGCAGTGCTTAAATGCATTATAAACCTGTTGCACAGACAGCAACGTAAGAAAAAAAAAGAAAATAAGGACTCAATTACTGGAGGGAACCTCATACCCAACAAAGCTCTGCAAGTGGGAGACAAGAAGCTGAAAAGAAAACAAAACCCCAAACTAACTTTCCACAGCTTTTTTTCTTAGCTAGTTTTAAAGTAAACTAATTCCTCTTTCTTGTTTGCACGAAAATTCCATTCCTCAGATGCCAACTGCCCAGCCACATCTCAACCAGGAATGCTGCTCACTGGCCGATGTAAAGCTCTACTGTTTCACAAGAAAAACTAAAGGGGTTTCAATGGGGAAGGCCAATGAAATTTAAACTTGCACATTTACGGTGAGGACAGCCCTGGTAGAAAAAGAGTCCATGAGAACCACCCTGAGCCCCCAGAAAACCAAATCACAGAAAACCAAACCTGAGAAAAACTCATATAGTGGAGTGTAAGAGCATTAACAAGAAAAGGACATTTCTGCAGAATTCATGGTTCATGAGCCATCAGCTGGTTCAGATGACATGCAAAGCTGTGTCCAACTGCTCACGTTTGTTTAAGACCACATGACCTGGCATAAGTTTTAATTAATCTTCATGAGGTGGGTAAATTCATAACCACTCAATGAAATGGCAGTTGGCAAACAGACTTATCTCAGTGCACACACACACACGCATGCACACACACATACACACACATGCACACACACACACACACACATGCACACACACATACGCATGCACGCACACACACATACGCATGCACACACACACACATACACATGCACACACACACACACACAATTTTTAACATAAATTTTACACATCAAAAAAGAAAAAGGAAATTAAAAAAATGGAACTCCTTACTGTGGTACTAACCATCCTAGCGGATGGGGGATTTGTCCTACAGTGCCTGGTGATAACGGATAATAAGGAGATATATCTGGAGGATGTGGAGGCCTTGGAATTCCTATGGAAGAGGAACATAGAGCCACATTAGTACTGAGACATGGAAATAAATAAAATACAAGGAAAGAGGACATACGCTTCTAAATTGCTATCTATTGTATTTTTATTACAAAAAAATTGTAATGGCTCATGGCTTCACTTTGGGTTTCCCAAGGCTGTTTCCCAGCCTTTAATAAACCCCTACTTATTTTGTAAAGTGATCCTCTTGGCATCTTGTTAAATGAGATCCAACCAGAAAAACTGATGTGATTTGCACCCTTGGTCACCTCTCCAATCAGAGATAATTATTTTGTTATTTAGGAGTCTCAGTTATAGTTTTTGGTGTGACACTGTGCTAGGCGCTGTCTTAAACACTCATCAGAAAGATGGTCCCTGTATCAACTTCATGGCTATTTTAGTCTCAAAGTCACCAAAAGAGCACAGGCCCTACCCATACATTGACTGGGTACTCAATAGTGTGGCGTTATTCCAAAGTAAACTCCAAAACGAGATAGAAAGTCATTGTAATTGCAAATTATATTTGCTTTTGAGCAAACCTAGGAAACCTTTCCCAAAACCTAGGAGTGGTGGTGAGAGCCCCTGGAAATGGTTGGTAAAAGTGGGGGCAGATGTTGAAGGTGCGCAGGGGAGGACAGAGAGCCCATCCGTCCTCTCTGAGATCGGTGCGCTTCCTACTTGGAGTGCAGAAACCAGCTCCAGACACAAGCTTTAAATCTTAATGCTCCTTACTCAGAGGAGTAAGGGTTACAAGACTGGGTCTTTCAATTAACAAGCCAGAGCACAATTACACAGCAGAAGCAAAACTAAACCAGAGAGCATTAAAAGGAAGGGGTACTGTATTCATGGCTAAAAACTACTTTTTTAAGTCACTCAGGAAGCTTTTAATCTCTAAATTAAATCTCCTTGTGTGACATTTTCATGCAGACATTGCTTTTTCTCCATTACAAAACCCAAACAGATTAACTGGGCTTTAACCATCCAGCGAGCTATTTGCACACTTGAAAGAATGTTCACAGAAGAAAAGTAAACAGTCTACAGACGTTAATCATATGTTTTACGATAACCATTTAAAAGCTATTCCCTGTACTACCATTATTTAAATGAGAGGTTGACTATGCCATTCACTTGCAATACCCAGGGATGGCGAGATGGATTCCTTTTAAGCCATGGGAAGTTAGCATTAAGCACAATTAAAAGGGGGCCCCCAGTTGAAGCGTAGGGAGTGAAAACCAGCTAATGCACAGCCTCATTCAAGGGCTGGAGGTTAGATAAATTATCTGCATACATTAGGGCCAACACAGAGTGATTCCTGTGACGAGAATTCAGTTTCTGATGTACTTCCCAATTAACTAGCTGGGATTTGGATTAACAAAAACAAAACCACTGTCACTAGGAACTCAATGCAGCCCGAAGAAAGAAGATTTACACTGTTTGACTTCTCTGGACCCTCGGGTTAAACAGGGACTCTTAAAAAGTTAGAATAACATGTAAATTCTACTCTGTAACACCAATAAATCTAGTCAGGGTTTTACGCAGTGCTCTATATTCAAGAAGACTGCCCTTCAGGCTGAACTGAGAGTTGGGTAGACTTACATTGGGGAAAAGAGTTGCAAGTGTAGAGCTGGAGCTAAGTAGTTAGAGTGGATGAAAATTCAACATTGTAGGAGAAAAATGGCTGAACTCCTGACACAGAAACAATGGGACTTGTGGAATTAAAAGAGATTCATTTTGAAACCGGTCATGACCCACCACCTTTAAAATTCCAGCTGCAATTTTGTAAGTGCAGATCACAGAACGTACATGTTTAATTCTCTGGGTCATGCATGCAAACCAAGCACTTGGTAGATAGAACTACTAGGTGGGGTATCACACCTGCAAAGAAACACACCTGCAAACGACCTCATACATGCAACTCTGGTGTCACCCTGCAAATTCACCCAGTAGGTGACCTTCTGAAGCCTAACTGGCTTAAAAAGAAACTATTTCATCTGCGTTCTTGCATGTGTTTGACATTTTACACGCCCCCTTTGGTGCTCCAGCCTGGGAAATCCTTCCTCCTGCACTCCTTCCCCATAATATGCAAACTGGAAAGATCCACCCACCCACTCTCAAAAACCCCCAAACTATTTCCCACCTACCTGTTTTGGGATCTACGTCGGCTGGTAAGTGTGGAGGAGGGTTTCCCGGTGTGAAGTGCTCATTGCTGTATGTGATAAGCGGCGTAAGAGGGTGTACATGGTGTGGGTGCTGCACAACTGGCACTTTGTTAGACTGTCAAGAGAAAAAGGTCGATGGCGTTAGAGGAGTGCTGGGTACTCCCCACTGCAGCACGAGGCACGACATACAGAAGTCTGAGTACCCAGGGTTTCAACACGGTCCTCAGACTTTTCCAGATCCCTTCTCAGTGTCACCCTTGTAGTTTTCCCACCCTCTTCCTTAAAACCTCCTCGCACACTTTCCCTGCTCTTGAGTTTCTTTAATCTTTTTGACCTGTTGTGCTCCTGTACGGAGCAACAGCAATTCTTTAAATTTTTTCCCTTTTATTTTATAATCTTGTGTTTCACCTCCAAGACACAGGCAGACTCCTCAGTGAGGGGCTGACAGACTCCCCCATTTAATTAGCAAGAGACCCAAATGCTCACTGACCTGTAGGTCTTTTCCCTTCCCCTTCCTGTCCTCACTTTCAGTTCTGCATTTTACTGCTCATTGCAAATACACCAGATAAAAAGCCTTTGTAGTGCTAGAGTATTCCCTTCATCAGCAAGCATTAAGCTGACAAGCGATCACCTGCATATTTTATACATATATATATTTTTTAGAAGAGGTGATTAATTATCAATTCATCAGAGAGTGCTAATAAATGGAAACTGGATACTGATGAATTAGGCTACTAAAATATTCAGCTATATAAATAATGGCAAAAACACAGATAAAGCCACTGAAATTAACACTCGTGTGGGGGGAATAATCATGCAGATATTGTGAGGTTTTCCCTGACACATTCCTAGCTCTGGGGGGAAAAAAATATCTTTTTCTTAACAACAATAAAAAAAAGGAGTGAATGAATGAAAGGAAAAGGCAGGCTGAACTGTAACTTACCCTTACAAGATCACAAAGAAAAAATTAAGCTGAAACAAGTGAACTGCTGGACCATTTACTGCGAGTAATCCAATTGCAAAAAACCCTATTCCCCATAGAGGATTTTCACTAAAATCCTACAACAGGGACATTTAACCAGATTAGGTACCAGCAAAGATAAAGAGGCTGGTATTAGATGATGAATGGATTAGAGTCAGGTTTCATTTTAGAATGTGTCTTCATTTCCTTTTATTACTTTAAGTAAGGAACAACTTGCATTAACATCAAGTAAAAGGAATCACATTAAAATAAAGTAGTGATACCACGGCAGCCCTCGATAGCGCCGCTGCCGTTCAGGGTCTGCCAGCGCTCTCCTGCCCAAGGACAGCTCTGACCCCACTGCTTGCTCCCCAGCACCCCCAAACTCAGGTGCCTTTCCCATGCCTTTAGACAATCTGATCTCAGTTCAAACACTCCAAGCTTCCCTTAAAAGCATTTAAACAATAATTCAGTTACTCTTTGGCAATGAGTTTCTAGACTGAGGGAAAGGAAGAGGAAAGACAGACTGAGAGCTAGGAGGAAGAGAAAAGTCAGTCTTCCCCCGAACAAACAAGAAGTCGCTCCATCATGTTTTGGTCAAGAGACAGCAGAGCCCCCACCCCTGGAGGCTCCCCCAGCCCCAGCCCCTGCCATACGCAGCTATTTGACTCATCCCTTTGATAACATGCAAAAAAAAAAAAAGTGTGCATCCAAGAGAAGCAAGCCAAACAGCAACGCTTACGCTTCCCACAATTTTTACCATGTTTATTTCTTTTTGCAGCCCTTACACAGAACGATTCCCCTCTAACACCATGCACATGGCACAGGGGAGTCCCACATCAAGTGGCCACCACGCAGGACAGAGCATGGTCGTCACAGCCAACGCTATGAATTACAGCATGTGGTGTTGGTTGGGCTGTAAGTCAGGTCTTCTGACAGCTGTGCAACCAAGCACAACTTTTTGCCACATAGATCCATAACGGTTTCACATCAGAAGAGCTATGGGGATTTAGCCCCTCAACTCAAAAAGCCAAGGGAGATGCTCTAACCCAAAATCTGTTCTCTTCCAAGTGAGCCAATCTAAGCGGTCTGAAAGTAACTGCAAGGTCTGGTAAGGGCTTCACATAACAATTCATATTACACACCATGAGCAGGCATCTACTCAACAACACATGACCTTATATGCCAAATGACCAGTTGATCTGGTTCACAAAAAAAAAACATTCCCACTAAGAAGGATTTTTGCTGTCCAAGAATTTTGTGAACTCTTGCTGTTAGGTGACCCACAGTGCAGCTAGTAGCTGCTGTAGCTTTGTGCTCTCCCAACTCTATCAAACCTTCATCCAGATCCTGACAGACATTGAGGGCTGTCTTCCAGGAAGAGCTTATTTTCATAGAAACTGGAACTGGTTAGTTAAAAAGACAAGTAAGTGACAGAATAACACTAGAGGGCCAGACTTAATCCAACAAACAAGAAACGACACGTGAGAAGAAAGCGGGACTTACATGCCTGCATCACCAAAGCCAGATATACCATAGGGGGTTACATGTAAACTGTGGAAAACTACCACCCACTGCTCTGATATACCAAGACGCCCTGCAATATCTCCACAAAACAGCATGAGTGCTAAATTATTACATATCTTACTTAACACCTTTTAGAGAAAAATAAAAAGCAGAAGGGGAAAAAAAATTTAAAATCAACAAGCAAGAGTTTGAATCTTAGTCTGCAAACTTTTCCCTAGGTAAGTAACTTTTATTTGGGTGACTGCCCTGCAGTTGAGCAGACAATTGACATAACGGTAGGATGCCTTTTTGCCACTCTGGTGATGCTGAGGCAAAGGTGTGGGGACAGTGTACCAGGTGGAAAGGGGAAACCACCATCTATGTGTTCAAAAATACGTTCTCTGGGAGAGAGGAGCGTGATCCACTGCCCCTCCAAATCAGCCTGCATCTATATCCCTACCCCGGGCTAGGTTTGTATTCTGTTTCACACTGTTTATCATACATTGGGAAAAGGGACTGTAACTCTGCTCAGAATAGCACAGACAATTTACAAGCCAAGCTAATCATACATAAGATGCTAAATGAGCTGCTCTTTAAAAGTAGCATTCCTGAAGTTAACTAAGCTTCCTCGGAAAAGAGAAAACGAACTAGCTGGGAAAGAGAAGGATTAATCCTGCACATGCATCTTCCTTTGAAGTCAATGGGAGCTCTGCCAGAGTAACACGTGTGGTCCTAACCCCATCCACTGGCAATGAAAGGTAAACCACAGAAGCCATCAATAGAGGACACCTTAGCCATCCCTCTGCAAAAAGGTCCTTCTCCAATATACATTTGCCAGTACTTTATCAAGGGTAGTTTTAAGCTAAAAGCCATTGTGAAATGCAGGAATTTCTCTGGCAACTTGAAGAACTCCATTTATGGCTATGTCAGGCATGGAAAGGGGAGCTGCGCTGGTACGCACAGATTAGCATCAGGGCATGTGGTAACAGGATGGGAACAAGTGGAGATTTCTAGAGAGAAATCCCAGCATCTACAAAGTATTGAGTCATCTGCTGATAAATCACTCCTCTCCACTGAAAGCTGGGGTCTCATATGCTGGGTTAGGGGGCACGGTAAAGAATTGCAAAAAAACAACAGAAGTTTGCTTTTCTTGATAACCCCCGCCTGAAGCAAACCAGAGGAAATTGTCCCCATAGGGACTCGACTACTAAATCTCTCCCTATGAATCTGAAATGCTTCTGGGAGTGCTTAAACACAGATGACTTTAATCAATAATGGAGCTCTGGAATGAAAAAAAAACCCCAAAAACCAAAACGAACTCCACGACAAATTTTGGACTCATATATGCTTGAGAGGGACACTGAGATCCATTTAGCCTAAGTTCTGATGGATGCCTTTAGGGAACGAAAAAATATCTGAACTTCAGATTTAAACTGCAGGGGACTGTGTGTATAAATTGCTATGTATTAGTCTTTGTTGCGTGGTAAGGACATTTCATTAACAGGATGAAAGATGCTTCTCTGCGTATACAGCCCAATTTAATACACCCCACTGATGAATACTCCCTATTTATTGAAGAAGTTAATACATGCTGCACAAATCAATAGTTCCTAAGTCTCTGAAAGCAACATAAGACTTGCATGAGATGAAACATTGTATTGTTGAGCACACAAAGAGAAACAAACCTTTAAATAGGAAGAGTTTGTTACTGCAATTTCTGTTTGCAAATTCATAGCTTGTTTGGCTTTGGTAATAAAAACATGGTATCAACTCAAAGTCAGAGAAAAACATGCCAGAGAGGCCAGGGGATTTGTCAACAGGATAACATGATGTTACTAAAATCAGATCTGCAAAAAAAAAGCCACCCAGGCTGAAAAAAAGCCATCATGCCATCACAGCATCGCAGCAGCCAAAGCCTTCGGCCTCAACGAACGGCTGGCGGGAGACTCTGCTCC